TCCTCAAAGTAAAAATTTAGCTCTTTAGCTATTTTCTGCAAATCTTCGCCAGAATCGAGTTTCTCGTGAAATATATCTAATAATTCTTCAATATTAATATTTCTCTGAGGTCGACAGAGTTGTAATAGCCAATTATCTGAAATTTCTTCTGAAGAATATTGAAAATTATCATCTAATATAGAATCGAAATGACCTGCTGGAAATTCTGACAACGAAACCGATGGCCACTTGGTTTTCTCTAGTTTCTCAATTACTTCGTATATGCTTGGACGAAGAGCTAGATTTTCATTACAACAAACTTTATAGAGCGAAATATACTCCAAGGGAGTTCCTTGACTGATTGCTTCAGCTTCATTATTTATTGTGTTTGATGAATTTATATAACCAAATTTATTGACATATGAACGACCAGTAGCGATGAAATTTAAGAGAATTCCCAGGCTGAAAATATCAAACTTTTCATCTCGTTGATAGTTGCTCATATTCCTTAGGAATGCTGGATCCATATATTCTAATAATCCATATTTAGACTTCGAATTTGTATTATCATTTTTAAGCTTCGATAATCCTAAATCGGCAATCTTAATTTGCCCGTTGCTTACTAAGATATTATTATGATTCTATTATCGAATTAATAGGAATTATAATTAGTGTGCTTATGCTCATGCATCTAATGGTAAAATATTTAAACAACTTACTAAATCGAGATGTATTATGCCTTCTCTATGTATGCATTCTAATCCTTTAGCTAATTGTAGAGCTAAGCTTAACTTTTCATTACCAGATAATTTATGAATATTAGCTGATAAATACTCTTTAATCGTCCCACCGTCGGCATATTCCATAACGAGTATGTAGTTTTGAAGCGGGTCTAATATAATATGATAAAATGTTTATAAATTATATTATTATTTGATTTTTTAGTAATGTTGTTTGTTACTTTTTTACCTTTAGAGATTCCATACAAACGAATCACATTTTGATGATGATTTACAGTACTCAGAAAGACCAACTAAGTATTTATTAGTATGATTGATATAAGTAGTAAACATACTTTCATAAATAAGTACCTCTTTAATAAATCTTTCATTTATTTTTTCATCCTTTAAAAAAATCCTTTTTAAAGCAATCGTCAACTGGCCTTTATCTAATTCTGCTTTATAAACCTCTCCAAATGCCCCGACACCGATAACTTCTTTTATAGTAATTCTTTCAAATTCGAAAAACTTTATGCAATTTTCCTTTATTGCACGCTCTAACCATTCATTGTCATAGAATACCTTTTGTATCGACATTTTTCCAGAAACGGTTAATTATAACTGAACCCATTAAATTAACCTCCCTCTATTACCGTAGAACATACACAAATATCACATGATCCAACCCTACAAAATACCATAACGATAACGATAAAAAAGCATCAAAAGTTAAAGTTAAATATCGATGTCTAAAATAAACTTTGAAGACATTAAAGAAAATGAATGGTTAAATTCTGCGATAAAAGAAAATCGAATTAGATTTTTTGAATTTGAAAGCTTTGAAGTAATCAGTGGTATTGGCAAAGGAGCGTTTGGAGAGGTTTATAAAGCAAAATGGTTAAATAATAACCCATCAAATGTTGCCTTAAAAAGCCTTTATTTTACAAAAGAAGCAAGCAAAAAGTTTATTAAAGAGGTATCTATATAGTGTTAAAGTTAATACGAAACAAATTTAGCATTATAGAGTATTTTTAATATTATTTAGTTGAAATTTCTAATTAAACTGAATTATCATCCTAACATAATACGACTCTATGGGATTTCAAAAGGTAAAATCTTTAAATCGCAATCTCTTAATCGAGACTCCTTATAAAACCAATTTATCAAAACAAATAATATAAAATTAAATTTAGAACCAACTTATCAAAAATACATGTTTGTTATGGAATACGCCGATTCAGGAACTCTTAAAGATTATTTATCAATTAATTTTTCCAAGCTAAATGGGATAGAAAAGTTAAGATTAGCAACACAACTAGCAAAAGCATTAAAGTGCATTCATGATGAAGGAATTATACACCGAGATTTAGTAAGAATGAAAATCAGCTACCAATTTTTACTATAATAGCACGCGAAAATTAACTAAGTTTTATCAAATTTAGCACCATAATAATATTCTAGTGAGCGGCGGGCAGATTAAAATTGCGGATCTTGGTTTATCGAAATTTTCAAATGATCATACGAATTCAAAATCTGATAACGGTTTAATATATTATATGGATCCAGCATTCTTAAGAGATATAGAAAACTATAGGCGAAATGAGAAATCAGATATTTTTAGTCTTGGCGTACTCTTTTGGGTAATCTCTAGTGGTCGTCCTCCATCCAACATAAATAAAAACGCGTATCATGATCATGAAGAAGTTGTAGCTGGAACTCCCTCTGCCTATGTGAAAATATATGAAGCCTGTTGGAATAATAATCCAGAACTTCGCCCTAACTTATCTGAAGTAATTTGCCAACTCGAAATAATAGAATGGACATCAGTATCAGATATATATAATGTACATGCACATAATCAAATAGGTCAGTCACAAGAATATTCTTCGGATACTTTCAACTCTGCCTCTAGCGATTCACACAATTATTTTGATGAACATTCGCAAAATTTAATGATTCAACTTGATATAACAAAATCTTTAATTAATGAATTATTGGATTTATTTTATAAGATGCTCAAATCTTGTGACGATTTATTGAAAATTTCTATTGAACTAAATTTATACCTTGAGAAAAATGCTCGAAGTCCTTTTGAAATAATAGAATATTTAGAAAGCCCGCAAACTGATGTTAGAAATAAAAATCTTTTAGGGTTTTTTTATTATTATGGAGTTAAAGTCGATCAGAATTACAAACTAGCCTTAGAAATTTATCAAAAATCAGCCCGTAAAGAAGACTCCATTGCTCAACATTTACTTGGATCTAGCTACCTTGATTTAAAAGATTATAAAGAAGCTTATTACTGGATGAGAAGATCAGCAGAAAATCATAATATAAATGGACAATGTGCACTAGAATATTATTACGAGGAATCAATCGGTTGTGATAGAAATTATAACAAAGCTTTTGAGTGGTATCTTAAATCAGCAAAACTTGATAATGCCCTTGGACAATATAGACTTGGGTTATGTTATGAATATGGAAAAGGAACTAATAAAGACGAGAATGAAGCCTTCAAGTGGTATCTGAAATCAGCAGAGGGTGGAAATGCGGATGGACAATGTAATCTTGGTTCATGTCATGAAGTAGGCTACGGAACTAATAAAGACGAGAATGAAGCCTTCAAGTGGTATCTAAAATCAGCAGAGGGTGGAAATACGAACGGACAATTTAAGCTTGGTGTATGTTATGAATATGGAAGAGGAACTAATAAAGATGAGAATAAAGCCTTCGAGTTGTATCTGAAATCAGCAGAAGGTGGAAATGCACGTGGACAATGTAATCTTGGCGTATGTTATGAACGGGGAAAAGGCACCATTAGGAATGAAAACAAAGCCTTTGAGTGGTATCTGAAATCAGCAGATGGTGGAGATGCAGCTGGACAATGTAAACTTGGGTTATGTTATGAGCATGGAAGAGGAACTAATGAGGATAAGGACAAAGCCTTCGAACGGTATCTTAAATCAGCGGAAGGTGGAAATACATATGGACAATGTAAGCTTGGTGTATGTTATGAACATGGAAAAGGAACTAATAAAGATGAGAACAAAGCCTTTGAGTGGTATCTTAAATCAGCGGAGGATGGAGATGCAACTGGACAATTTAATCTTGGTATATGTTATGAATATGGAAAAGGAACTAATAAGGATGAGAACAAAGCCTTGGAGTGGTATCTGAAATCAGCGGAGAGTGGAAATACGAACGGACAATGTAATCTTGGTGTATGTTATGAATATGGAAAAGGAGCTAATAAAGATGAGAACAAAGCCTTCGAGTGGTATCTGAAATCAGCGGAGGGTGGAGATGCAATTGGACAATTTAATCTTGGTGTATGTTATGAATATGGAATAGGAGCTAATAAGGATAAGAACAAAGCCTTCGAGTTGTATCTGAAATCAGCGGAGGGTGGAGATGCAATTGGACAATTTAATCTTGGTGTATGTTATGAATATGGAATAGGAACTAATAAAGATAAGAATAAAGCCTTCGAATGGTATCTGAAATCAGCAGAGGGTGGAAATACATATGGACAATGCAATCTTGGCATATGTTATGAACAGGGAAAAGGCACCATTAGGAATCAAAACAAAGCCTTTGAGTGGTATCTGAAATCAGCAGAAGGTGGAAATGCGTGTGGACAATGCAATCTTGGTATATGTTATGAACGGGGAAAAGGCACCATTAGGAATGAAAACAAAGCCTTTGAGTGGTATCTGAAATCAGCAGATGGTGGAGATGCAGCTGGACAATTTAATCTCGGTTTATGTTATACATATGGAAAAGGAACTAATAAGAATGAAAGCGAAGCTTTAAATTGGTATTCTAAATCTACATGGAATGGTAATAAAAAGGCCTATCAAAAAATGACTTTGAGTGGTATCTGAAATCAGCAGGGGGTGGAAAAACAAACATAAGCGAATCATCTGAGAATGCTTGTTTAGAGATGATATCTTCAGAGCTTGATACACACAAATTGTTAAACTCTTAATTTCGACTTAAATGAGTAATGGCCATCTAAATTCAGTGTCATTCTTTATGAAGCTAAGATATTCGCAATTAGTTTTTTATTTCATATCAAATATTCATAAAGCCACAAGATATCATTTCACAGAGTGCGTATTTCTTTGACACGTCATTCACATTTGTCAATGAGATAGTTATCTCGAGGATTTAATAAAAGTCAAGTAAAAAAACTAGCTATAAATAAAAATCTACATCAAAATTTCGTATCTTTTCTCTGTATGTATGACTTAAATATCCTTCCCAATATCCCATTTTTCGCCTTTCAAATAAAAAAGGATCTCAAAAATTACTCCTAAACCGCTTAATTTCTGCAGTGACAGTCTGTACATCAACAGGTTGGTGCCTCAACTTCATCATCATACGACCATTGCTGCCTCCATTACTATTACCTCCACTTCCACCTCTATCATCATCCTTTTGAATTCGTGCTTCCAAATAATTAAAGAACTGGGTGTAATAAATAATCAGTTGTCCGAGAACCGCATGCAGTATAAAAGTACCGTTTGTGAAATTGGAGAAATTTTGAATGACCGATGCGTTGATGGCAGTGATTGATTGTCGCCACGTATTTGAAAAATCCAAAGAGATTTTGTCGAAAGATTCTAATAAACGTGTTAATATTGTTATTATTCGAAAGAAAGAAATTGAAATTGAATACAATAAATAAGGATAAAATTATTTACCTAAACTAACAGTACCAACATCTTTAATTTCCTGAGCTTTTTTCACAAACGTGATCAATCCGCCAAAATAAGGGTGCAGCTCTTCTTCGACATACCCAGAAATCTTTGAATTCAACAATTCTTTAAAGTAATCAATTTCGGGTTCTAATGACTTTCCTCCATTTTCCTGTAATTCAAAAATCAGATGTATAAATTGAAAATGCTATATCGCTGTACCATTACAAATAAAATAAATGGCCTACACTCAAAATAGTAATCACTAAATCATAGTTATTTATCAAGAAAATGTATCGGTTTTTGCGGTCTTCGAATTCTAACGACATTTTATTAAGTAATGCCGTGAATTCGCTTTGTAGTCGCGTTAAGCTATCAAACCACAAATATTGTATTAATAAATCAAGATTCAATGAATTGATTATTCAATGTAAGTGAGAATTAATTGATTGATTGATACACACCTGTTTTTAAGCGGTGGATCATTGTATTCGTCATTTAATGTCAATATCGAAGCCGCAAATTCAGCGTACCGACGTGAAATCTAAAAACCATTAATAAAAAATCAAATTTCAAATTATCTTAAGATCAACAAAAAACCATGATTTAAACAAAAAAAATAACAAACATAATGAGGATGAACATCTCGAGCAACGAGCTTATTCTTAGCCTTCTTCACACTTTCAATATGCCTATCCATTATTGTCTTTAACCTGGGCCAAAGTAACATATTTATTTGGTTGGTGTAACTCTCTAATGATGGTACTCGTCGTCGTTGCAATTCTAATGCGAATTGCGTATTCAAACGGATGCATAACAGAATTCCAACTACATCGTAGCTGTGCTCGACGTTCTCTTTGGCTGTGGCCTAAAGAATAAATTATCAAACAGAATTAGTTAATTTTTACAGTTCTACAATAAAAACTTTTAGATAAAAATAATCTCGCGATTTTAGGAAAAAAGTAATGGTACCAAGCCCAATTTTATTGTCGAATCAAAAATTTCGGCAAACAAATCTCGTGTGATATCTACTGCCGGTTTATCATCTTTTGCAAAAAATTCTAAAAGAAAAAGATATTCCGAGCTAGCATTATCTATAAATGTTAGATTAAAACTTCTGAAAAGTGCTTCTACGGGATATTTCTGTCAAAAAAAGTTTTATTTTATTGGAGATCATTATTAATTAATTTATTGGTAGAATGTAAAAATAAACTACATATAGTGTGTTATTTACCAGATTTTTATTTTCAGCTACGTGAACAAGTATAACACCAGCATCCTGACCGCGTAGTGTGTCTATTCTATCACCTAATGCGAAGATACTAGTTTTGTCCTGTAAGGCGATTCTAGTCGTGCTAAAGAGCCCGCCTTCCCAGCCAGAATCGTGTTAATTATCTAGTATATAAAAATCGAAATTATAATAATTAACAAAAAATAGATACCTTTTTTGACATTTTCATCATAACCCATTAAATCCAATTTATCACCGATCGGACTCTATTAAATAAATATATAATTTAAATTTAAATATCGACTGTTTAATAAATAGAATAAAATAAATAGCGACTAAGAATTTCACCTGAAGACTCTGCAGTCCACGATTATACCGTTCAAAATGATTATAAAAATACCATTTCATAGTATTTACGTAAGTCTGGCGAATCTCGATAGCAACTTCAGGGTATCGTTCCATCACAAACCGATGCAACTCTTTATACTTTAAAAATACTGATTGTTGTAGAATTTGTACATTTGTATTCGGTATTCGTAGTGATTTTATTTTCTTCAAAAGAAAATCACGAATTTTTTCGGCTGCCTAAATTAATCATAACACACAAAAAATAAATTGCTCATGATGAATTAATCAAAGGTGTAATAATATTATTGTTACCTTTAGTCTTAACTTTTCCAATTCGGGTCCAACGTCTTTAAAAGCTACGAATTCTTTATCTTGATTTTTGGTCACGTATATCATTTTCCTGTTAAGCTCGGTCAAATACGCAAGCCATGTTTCATCAACATCACCTTCGGTAATTTTCCTATTTTTCAAAATCATTTTGTGAATAATTAAAAAAAAAGGCACAAAATCTCTGTCAATTAATAAAATTCATACTTTATCATTGGTGGCGGAATAACAATTCCATCTAATACAGAACTTAATTGCTCTTCTACCGCCTATTAATAAGATATCCGAAGAATTCTTACTATATGCCACCTTCCAAATAAATCGATCATTACGTTTTAGACTTAAAATAATAAAATCATTTACAGTTCTATTCTTGAGCTTGATATTCATGGTTAAAGATTTTTCTTGCAACGACTGAATTTCGGAACTTATGTTTCCTAAATCCATTTGAAATACAGAAAGCATATTTTCCATCTTCTCCAGTATTTTATCACACGACTATTAAATCAATTAAAGTAAATTAACAATAAAATAATTAAAATCAAGTAAAGTAAATTAGCAATAAAATAATTAAAATGACGAGTCAAGAACGAGTTAAGCTACCTGAATTTCATCATGCAAATCCACGAAATTTCGAGTTTGATTAACATCTGCGAGATAAAGGTAATATCTTTAAGAGACTAGACTAATACATGTCGTTCAACGGAATAAATTATAATTTATATACACTCGGATTCATGATCCCGCTCAACAGCATACAACTCTGCCTCAATATTTTGAGCATACTCGTGTAGATCCATTCCCTACCAAAAACAAAACAATATATATCGTGAATTTCACAAGAGTCAAATACCCATTCACCCACATATTCGTACCATATTGCAATTTCATTCATAATCACCACGAGGATGACCCGTATTGACACACTCACTCACTTTTTCTAAAACTTCACGCACGAATCCATTCTCCTCGACGACTGTGGTTGTATTCAATGATGAGGAGGTGATAGGATCTAATATGAATTTTTATTATTATATGTGAAAAATGTGTAGTTTTTCTTATCAAGATAAGCATCGGTCGGTTAATAAGCAAGTGCATGCTTTGGATACGAGGTATGAAACAAAAGAAAATTAAAAATTTACCGTCTACGATTTCAGAATCTTTTATTTCCAAAATATCCTTTATTTATGAAAATTATATGAACAAAAATATATAAAAATAATAAAGCATATACGCATACACTAAAACTAACAGTGTCACTTATATCACCGAGCAATTTTTCTAATAGTTTTTCACTGACGATGGTGGAAGGCGCCTTAGAGGTAGGCACAATTTCCTCCTCGTTAACAAAAGAAAGTGAAGCCATATCTATCGCTATATATTATTTTCGCGTTTGCTCAACCTCAACTAAATTTTGTAACACTTGTAAATCGGGAAAAAACGTGATTTGCTGACACACATTAGCTAATATTATTATGATGATAGAGGTGCCTCAGGTAAGATCTTTTACCCAATCAAAATGCTTAATTTTGTACTAAAGATCAAAGCTCTACCCCCCCCAAAATATTAGCTAATAAATCTCCTGGTTTGATTCATTCTATTAGTCAAAATTCATCCCTATTTTTATGTATCTAATTTATCATCGTTACGAATTGTCTGTTACTTCACAAATGATATTTTTCATGGAAAAAAGCTCATAAATAGTCCTCGAATTTATAAAAATCCAAACTTGTAAGAGCAAAATAGAGCAATATCCTTTTATTTTAATTGTTATGATTACATACTCTAAATTTTTCTCAAATAAATAAAATTATATATATATCAAGATGTTCTTTTTACAATCCCACCACAGCAAAAATAGCAACGACACCCAATACTATCATTGTCTGTGAGAATCTAATCGAAGTACGCACACTACTAGACGAGTTATCCTCATTAGATCCCGTATCAGTACTACCGAGTTGTTTCGGGACATATGGAACGCCATTTAAATTCGCGACCGCAGAAAATACATTTTGATTGCCGGTGCCTTTCTCGTAAAAATCGACTGCGACAAAATTCGGAATTTTACCGAATTTTGCTCTGCATGCATCAGCATGTTGTTGAAGATTTTGGGCGTTTGTTGTGTCGGCGGAACCTGGTTGAGGAAGTTCAATTGGTGGTCCATTGCTGAGAGCTGCTGGTAACCTACCATTCACGAAGTGGTTTAGCACGTACATACTACGGGGTTGATCCTTTGGTCGATCTACTGTACATTGCCAATTGTTCGCATCACTATTATCGAATGGTGTCTCAAATACATAATTGTATTCTGCCATTAACCTATTAATTGTGTATAATATTAAGATTTAATGAATGAAGATGTCCATATGAAGCCCTATATAAGAGATCAATCACTTACCAAGGAACACTTGGATCTGCACCAACATCAATAAAGTTCACGACTCTTTTTCCCGAGTTAATCATTGACTGTAAGGTGGGCCAAGCACTCTTTGTATCTTGTTGTGAATACACATAAGGCATGATGCCTGATGTTTGATAGGCCGTCATGAATCTTAATGGCGATATTTTGTCAAAGTTTTCCCAGAAAATAGTGAGCACCTCATTGGGGTTTGATTTCAACCAGGTGACAATTTGTTGTAAAGTTGTTATGAGATTTCCCGCGTCCAATAAATCACAAGATTGATGACAAAGTTCAATTGATTGTGAAGTAGTGTCGTTTGGATTGTGAGCGTCAAACATAAATGCGCGAATGCCATCTTTTAGTTGAGTTGGTATATCAAAATCTTGATTCGCTGCTGCTTGCTTACCGAAAGCAAACGCATTATGTGTAGTCGCGAAAGTAACTGCTTGATATGATCTTGTGCAAAGTTCAGCGTATCCATTACACAAGTTACCTGTCCCTCCAGTTGTAGAATCATTAGCAGCTCCAGCTTGTGATACGATCAACTGAAATGAAAATAAGATCCAGATAATTGTTGAAGAAATGATATTTTTCTTCATTTTTTTTTAATAAAAATGTTCTTTTGAGGCACAACGCCAAATATTTTAGTCTTTTAACAAGTTAATATCTGCGATATCTAATCCACTTTATTGTCTATGTATCTATATATCTATCTATCTATATATCGGTAAGCTACAGCGAGCTTGAAGGTTAATGGATATACGGTTGGTTGATCGGGTAAAAAGTATTTTATAACTCTGTTAAAAATACTAAGAAGGAAGGGAAAGACGATTTAGTGTAAAAGAGGAAATATGAAAGAAGGGAAGAGGAGTTTATTGTTAATCAAAGAAAGTGAATATTTGTAAGCTAACTGTTCAACAGTTTTCTTCCGAAAGACGCAAAGTTTAAGATATTATCGTTATATCCCATATTAATACTGTATTTTTTCTACCGAACCATAAGCGAACTAAATAAACTTAGTTGCACCACCCCACACGTTTCATAATCAACGCGTATAAATAAAGAGTTTGGGGTTGATCTAACACAAATCAGAGTTTTCCCTAACGCTAATAATATTTTAATGGTTCAGTTAAATTCTATATATAAATAACTCAAAGAATCTAATTTGTGTCCGATTACTTGTGCATACAATGATCGTAATTAATTAATAAATTTGGGTACCAATACATGTATACATGTATCAGTTCGATATTAATTTGAAGACGTAGATCACACATGATTAACTTCTTGAAACTAAAAGTTTGAAAAATGAGCGGTATTACTAATAACGAAAAAATTCAATATTTCTCTATGTTCAACCAGCTTGGCCCTGTAAATGGATTCATTACAGGTTTAGCATTGGCTTCTAATTCATCGTCCTTTTGTCAGGGAAATCTTTAATTTGCAAAGAACCTTTATCTCAAAGACTTGATATTATACTATACTAATACAGGTTCTCAAGCACACAAATGGCTTGTCAATTCAAAATTGCCAGTACACATGTTAGAGAGAATATGGTAACTTGATACATTAATAAAAATTGAAAAGCTTCAATTTTCTAATTACGTGTTTAACCATTATCATAATTAGGGATCTTTGTGACATAGATAAAGACGGAAACCTTGATTTTGACGAGTTTGCAGTCACTTATAGATTAGTTAATGATCTTTTAGCAGGGATATACCCTGATGTTCCACCAACGCTTCCACAACACCTTATTCCTCAGAGCAAGTTGCATTTATTAGCAGCACGTGGTAGTGGTGGTAATGTCGGGAATTTGGCCGGAGGTGGAACTTTTATTGGAACAAGCGGACCAATTACAAGCGAATTTAATACACCAGGGATTGGACAGATTAATAATAATGATGTGACCAATTTGTTAAGCGCGCAACATCGATTTCCTCCGATTCCTCCACCTGTGCCAGCACCGCTTAATCAAGTGATTATTTATTTTCTATTTTCTATTTTTCACAGGAAATTAAGCTAAGATTTTTTTCTTAATATCACACAGTTTTCGCAAGTTCCACCACCAGTGCCGCCTCCACCTACACTTCATGTATTCATTAATGAATTTTTTTCTTTTGGTGGTTGTTTTAAGCTATTCACTGATTAATTATGATATGTAGTCTAGTTACGGTGGTTTTCCGTCCGCGCCATTGACAGACGATTTTGATTGGTATATGCCACCTGCTGATAAATTTAATTATGAGAATCAGTATAGCAGTCACGTTGGGGCACATGGATATGTGCAATGTAAGAAGTAAAATGGTCGATTTTTTATTGCTGAATATATAGCAAATACTTTATCCATTTTGTGTAACGTATTTTTCTTTTTCAAAAGTTGCATATTTCGATGAGCTATATCTACAGCTTGGAATTCCCCGAGAAGAATGTATAGCCGCATGGTATGTTCGATAATTTTAGAGTTTATTGTCAGTGATCTGTATTTTGTTTTTGATGAATTCCCTTCTATTCTTGGGTAATTAGGAATCTTGCAGATGTCAATTTCGAGCAACGTCTTGGTAAAGACGCGTGTTTAGTGTTTTTGCACATACTCAATCAGCGCAGTAAAGGAAAACGTATTCCAAGTCAATTGCCAAATGCTCTCAAAACTTCGTTATTACGTGGAAAACTGAATTATAACTATAATGAAACGTTGGATCCAACGTCTACTACACGTCGAGCACGTACCGATCCCAATGATTCGGGATCAACGCGGTCCTACGGAGGTATAGATTATGATTCTTTTTAAATCGTGACTATTTTCAGATAAATAATCTCAACATATTTCGAAAAAAGGAACAAAACGGGAGGAAGAGCAACTACTACACAAACTCGCCGACCTAAACGAAAGAATACAAAAAGCCGAAGAACGAGCACTATCCAGTTACACTAGCGCACTATCTTCCTCGACATCCTCGGAAACGATAACAGACTTTCAACAGCTGCTAGAGTACAAGCAGAAACAATTATCCGCCCTTAAAGACCTCGCTGGTGCCAAACAGAAATCATCGTCCGCGTTTTTCGAGAATTATATTCGGCGCGAGAAATCCGCGGTACGTGAATTAGAGGAGAATATACAGTTGTTGAAGACTCAGATGTCGATATTGGAAACAGAGTATAGTAGTAGTGAACGTGATTTGCGACAGTTGCAACAGGATATTGAGGTGGCTAAGAGTGGGAGATAATTATTTTGTTTTTGGGGAATTTTCGAATTTGGCATGGTGGTTGGGTGGTAAGAACTTTTTTTAAATTAGTTTTATTTATTATTTATGCAATTTATTAAACAAACAAATGGATGAGCTCAATTACAATATTTTAAGATTCAATGAAATAAAAATCGTGTGTCAATAATAGTATCAAGAATAAACCGATTTCAACAAAAAAATGTTAGTAAGATACCAATGTGTCAGATCGATTATTCAGTTATTGTTTTCTCAGGTTCAACTGAAGAATGTAAATGTTAGCGAAAGGAGATGCATATTGACATTCAAATTCCAATGCTTATGTCATGTTTTGCTTTTACATGCAAAAAATAAATTAGAATCACATACAAAGGTCATCAAGAAACAGAATATAATTAAATAAATAATATAAATAAAGGCAACGCGTGTCTACAAACAATCTAATCTTATGGTCAGCGATTATCCAATCAGATTTCAGATTCGCACCACATTTTATAGCCTATCAGTTTCGTTACAAAGAAAAGCGCTATTTATTCATTGATTAAATATATATAATTAAACAAAAAATGTCGACTGGCTCAAAAATAGTAAACTTAGCGCATCGAACACTTGTGGTTTCGTTATTTGGACTCGCGGGTATATATATATATCATATACTTTTTTCTTTGTATAAAATTTGATTTGTTGATTCGAGGATTAATTAATTGATGATCTTTTTTAATTGTGTCTTTTTTCGTGTACACTATCAAATATAAAGTATGGTCAGGATACGGGTCAATTGTGTTACTAAAGGAGAGATTAGAACGGAAACGACAGCGTCAACAACTGGTATCAACAAAATTTCAAACTCTCATGTTCTAAAAAATAAAACCAAATTAAATGATATTTATTCTTTGTTAGGCAACAGCTCAATTAGGAGGAGATGCATCTTCACAAGAGACAAACATAATAAATGCTAATAATGAACCATCATCAGTTTCGCAGTCTTTATAATAAAGGACATTTATTAGCAGATGAGCGATACTTTCACATATTTAACGAATTGAAAATATCGCAATAATTATCATTTTTGGAAGTAATCATTAATTAATTAATTTTTCTGATTGACTCAAAAAAAAAAAGTTAATTTGAGAAATGAAAAAAAAGTGAATGTTCCAAGTCTTAATAGAAACTGAAAATTGAAGCATGAATTAATCTAATCAATCGACTATAAATGATCTACTAATATTAGCAAACTATCAACTTATCTTCCGATTCCTACTCTTATAACTTCACCATCAACTTTCTTCCTCACATATTCACATACTCGCAAAAACAATATCCCCATTTATCTAACTGATCAACTAATTCTTCAATTACACATTATACCCAATCAAACTTCTACGACCGATTACCTCCCCGATAAAAAAGAAACCAGCAACCTCAACCGAACGAATCGCATATACTGCATAATCACGTCCACTATACGACTGAAGTTTCTTCGATTTAAGTGTACGAAGTTCATCGTAATGTTTCGTAAAGAAGCCTTGTGCTTCTTCGAATTGTGCTTTATTGGGAGGCGCTAATCCCTCTTTTACCCATATTTCCTTGAGGATTTCTTTGGCCACCAGGGCATCTTCGACTATTAACTTTCGAAGAGCTGTAGAGTTATCATAGAAATTAAGAGGCAAATTGCTTAATTTTAATGGCAATTATTCATGTTCCAGACACGTATATTCATGAAACCTATTCTATATACCTAAATTTACAACATACCACTTATTTTCTCTACCGAGTTTTGAGCTTTCTTCGCAGCCGTCGTAGCTTGTTCTGTAATTTGTGCTGTAGACACATTGCGCGACAAAGGTTTAAGAGATACTACACGAAAACTGTTTCCCAATAAACGTGTGAACCTTGTGGTGGCAAAAGAAAGAGAGGCCATCTTCACTTGAAAGAAACCAAGTAATGGAATAGATTATGATAAATTTTTTCATTTTTTTGGACAAGATCGTCGAAATTCTAATGTGACAAATCTCAGTATTTAATAAATTAAAAAAGGTCAAAAAAAAATATATCGATATTGTTTCTATAGTCAACATGTGAACAAATATCCTGTCTTAAATTTTGACAATATCTCAGAGCAGATCGCCGCACTAAGTAATAGCAATCGTAAGAGAAAAGAGACTCCAAATAGCAACTAAAGACATCACGCATGCTATCATTTAATCTTGTAATTAATGAATCGCACTTGCTCGAATAATGCTTTCTTTGATTCATCCTTAGCTGAATAAGCCCATGCGATACAATAATGAGCTGACAATAAACGCCATTCTTCAAGTTCATCAAGTAACTCCAGTTCAGAGATCCTGAATGAAATACAAGTATTTGATGACTACACGATGATATTATTGTTAAATCTCATGAAACGTTATGAAGATAATCACTTAATCACCTTATCATCTCTTTTGGATCGATATGATGATCGTGAATTTGGTTTATATCTACTGCCTCGGCAAAAGTCCATCCACGCGTCAAAAACCGTTGTTTTTGACTTTTGAGATCCGGGTACGCGTGAATACCGCGTAACTCTATATTCCGTAATCGTAAATTTTGTAGCATTGTGATTCCAAAGATATCGTTTGGCAAGATTTGCTCGTATACGACAAATAAAGCAGTCTGCATGTTATCGCCAACCCATTGAATTATCTTATCAGAGTATTGTTGTTCCATGTATATCAGCACACATTCAGAAAGGAATAAAGTAGGAAGACTACGGTGTATTCAACAATTGTGATTGTTAATTTGAATTCTAATTTATAGGAATATGAAGAAATTACCTTTTATCGAAACCTTGTTCTTCCATACGTGGTATTATGGTTTCCACAAAATCTTTAAGATCACCAGATAGCAGACAATAATCTGAAGCGTAAAGTTCAGTACCACCCAAACCTTCAAAAAGGGATATGCAGACAAGGGTAAGGATCCTTGATTTACCTACTTCGAAAAAAAATAAACTAATACAAACCCAATTTAGCATTTCCTTCGAAGAGTTCAGACAATTGTTTATTCTTTCTTATTACTGCCACTTTCTTGGCGGTTACTTCTGGATAATCGATTTCAAAGTATTTATATAAGCCATCCAATAATTTTTTTGACTTGTTATGACATAAAATGGGTAAAATAACAAAGTAAATATTTATCGTCACGTTCTTACCAATTCTGACAAAGTTCCGATAAAAATACCTTAGAATTAAAATACCGTGTATCTGACCCAGCTCCAAGTGACACTATCTGTTTCTTGATTTTTGGATTATTCTTTGTCTGTTCATCCTTACTATGATCCATACCAATCCCTGCTTCTAGAAACTTTTTTATTAATGTGTCTAGACCGGCGTATCGAACATAACTACCTTTGTTTCAAATGACGAGCAACAAGCATTAATTTAAATGTGAGGTACGCAAGACGAGACAAGGATAAACTTGCAAGAGCTTTCTTTAAACCTCTGTTTATAATGGGTGGTCGTCTTGACGGCTTTTTCACAAAGTACTTTACATAGGAGTCTTGTATGTATCCGGTAGTTACAGCTGAGCTACAATATACGAGTCAAAAAAAAGGGTTTATTTCACGTGTTCTCACAAATATAAAGAAGTCCATTTTAAAACCAAAAGGCAAAAACTTACAGTTTACTTGTCACGGCATCCTCATTCGTACCTCGAATAGCGTTATCCAGGGTTAAAGAATCCATAATTATAATGAAAATCTTCGTGGGAAACAAAGTATAAATTTCCCAACGTGGCTTTTACTTGTAATCTCCAAAAAGTTAAGCGATCACGAGAATCTAATCTAATCGCGTAAACTCCCAATGAAATTGGTCATCTCGTCATTCAACACAAAAGAATGACGCGTTTTGCATATTGTTGGTTGTTTCTCCTTTTTTTTTAAAGTAAGTTTAACTAATATCTATTATTGTTTGTTGAAAATACTCTTCGAATTAACCAATTCACAATAAAGGAACGCGTCAAGAAAATAAGCATTCTTCTGGTTAGAGAAAAAAAAGAGAGAATTTATTTGTCAAATTCTGTTATTAAGCAAAAGCAAAAGGTAGACTTTTATTTTTATTAACAACAACTTTAATGAGAGTAATGAAAATCAATAATATGATAATTTTTAACACATAAAGAATATGCCAGAAACTTTATCTTCACTAACCCCTCTGGAATCAGATAACTATTTGATGAATCAAGCAAAAAAAGTTCACGGTCCATTAAATTCAAAAGAACCAGGCGATCTCGGTGATGATTGGAGTATTAGTAGTGGTAAATCGTCGGAAGGAGAAGTAAATAATGGTGAAGAAGATCAAGGCAGTGATAATTCGAGTTTGAATGAAAAACTTCATAATAATAACAACAATGATCAAAGTATATACGACGACAATGAAAATAATAATAAAGAGAAAATTACACCAAGTTATGTGAAGTCAAAAGAGATCATCGAGGATGTGCTTAATCTCTGTGAGGTAAAAAAAATTAGTCTTTTTTCATAATTCTCTTTCTCGCATCTATTTTATATCCTTATTTAATTTTGTTTTTATTAGTCATCATCAGCACATTTATCCACGGACATATTAATGTTTTTACAAAACGAACGAATAGAAACAATCGTAAAAACGTTGAAACTAAATACCCGTGATCAGACGTCACAATACACGATGATACACGACGTAATCGCAAATATAGAATCTCTAATAGAGGTGGTCGATAGATTATCAACACAGGTCGAAAATAATGAAATTGAGTTGCAAAAAATAAGACAACGACTAGCAACCTTGTATTTGAAGTTGGTGTATAGTTATCTTCTCGTGGCGGTTGTGATGGTGGTAATTGGATGGTTTTTTTTCGTCGCTGGTGATGATGAAGTTGCCCGGAGTGAGGTTGATTTATATAAAAATTTATTTCAATATATTTTCTAAGTTTCTCATCTAATTTGTAAATCTAATTAATCGTAAATATCTTAAATGAATAAAAAAAGGTTCAAATTAATAAAATATTGAATGAATGTACAATTTTGTGATACGGAAATTTATTTAAGAAATATTGAGACGATCAAACTACCAAAGTTAATTCTTAATATCTAAAGGAACCAAAGATTCTTATTTGAAATCTCATCTTGCCAAAAGTTTCCCACTTCCAAGCCTTCAATCCAGTTAGAGAAGCAACACCTACAGATTTGGATTTGTTTTTTGTGAAGTAGATGGTGTTGGTAGTGGGAGAACCTCTTTTTCGATTAGATGCTCAAACAGTGACCAATGGCTTTTTTGGCCAATCAGTAATTTTGCATATGTTACGTCATTCAGTATCTCGTACATACTTCAATTCTGACATGAGTTTGATTAATTTCCCTGGTAAGAAATTTATTATTAGGTTCTTTCCTGACCTTGTGTGGACAAACGAAGGTAGATTCCAGGTATTGTCGGATTCTTTTCCCAAATTAGCTGTGTTTATCAAGACAAAATTATTGTAGTGGATGCTTTTCAATATCGACAAAACCATCATTACTAAACTTTAACGAGATGATTTAATGCAATTTCAAGAAGTCTAGTGTAGTAATTTTTGAAGCAGAAAATTTATCATTTGTCTTAAGAATGGCGCAAACTCAAGAGAATAGTCGAATGACTTTATAAATGATGTTAATAATATAAATGGATTTTAATGCAATAAATTCCATATACAGTATATGTTACTTTCAAGCATCTAAATTTACGTAATTCTAATAAGTGTTAAATGTTAGAGTGCCAAAGACTTGAATCTTACAATAGACAACACCAAAACTTGGTTAACGGGATTTTATCATTTCATCAATTAAGAAACAGGCTTGAATGCAAGGTTATCGTTATATATAGCTTAAATTTAATTTCGGCCAGAACTATTAAATACCGTACTAAAATTAACTGTTGATCAAGAAAAATTACAAACTCGCGACAAGCTGTTTCAACGAATTGTTATTTAAAGAATTCTTTCTACAACAACCAAAAAAATCCTAAACCTGATAAAAGGAAACAATGTCAGACTTACAACAATATGTTGACCGTATCCTTTTTATCAAAGAGGAAAAAGTTCGGAAATTATGAATTTTTCTGGCAAAAAATTTGGTTTTAAAAAATGAATGTTTTTGAAAAGCTGGATAATTAGAATTTCTTTAATTAATCCATAAAGTCTGGTATTATCTTCTTGACTTTCTTGATCTTATATTTTCTTTAATAAAAGAATCAGTAGAAGTGATTACAGTTGATGGTCGAGTAATAGTGGTGCGTAAATTAAGTATAGGAGGGAAGAGTGGCTTGTGTCTAATATAATTGTGATATTTTACATTTCAAGGGAACACTCAAAGGCTTCGATCAAACGACAAACATTATCTTGTCTGGATGTCACGAACGTGTGTTCTCCGAGACAGAGGGGGTTGAGAAAGTTCCGCTTGGACTGTACATAATACGAGGGGATAACATGTAAGATTTTTAAAATATTTATTTAAATTCCGTTGATAATAGCTGTTTGGGATTAATTATTGTTTCGAATTATAGATGTGTTGTAGGAGAACTGGATACCGAACGTGACGAAGCGATAGATTATTCAGAGATTAGAGCACCTCCGATATATGATATCATGAAACGTTGAATACTCAAAAAAAAAATCAAAATCAAAAATTTAAAATTTAAAATCTAAGAATTATAGAGGTCAATTCACTTTACCACTAGATAAATATTATATTACTTTGAATTCGCTGTTTTTTGTTTTTATTTATGTATGTATTCTCTTATATTCCATTATTTTATATTCGATCAATCTTTTTGTAAATATTGTAAATGGGAAATTGTTAATTAGAGATTGGAATATCTTTTTGTTTGTACATCCACCTTATTTTTTACAAGTTCAGCTCATGTCAAATCATTGAATAGTGAAAAAAAAACAAAAATTCATTTTGACCTGTCTTTACATGGTTCTATTATGTGTTTCGTACCCAATGACGATAAAAGGAGGTCACTTCTAAGGTAAATTGATTTGCCAACTGGAGCGAGTGCAACGACGTTTGATCTTAGACATGGACTTTGCGAGTTACTGAAGCAGTGTATATAAATGTGAGCTGATCAGTAGTTTCGCGTCGATAATCTTTTCTAATCATATGTTTCATATTAGAACTTATAACTAGAGATTCGTTAGTGACAAACATGCTAATAAAATAATTTCAAGATACATGATAGGAAGACATACAAGCCACAACAGATTTAACATCTATGGTATTTCAATCCTCAAGATCCACCCCAAATTTTTCATACATCCTTTTTGTAGTAGTTCCTTCGTATACTGCGCACTTTTATGGATGAATGAATGAATACCATTTTGGCGAAGAAGAAAATTACCCAGCCTTAAATAAATCACGTAAATTGTGTTGTTGTACCTTTCCAAATAACATTTGTCCTACATCTTTGATTTCATTGTACTCGTGTAATAGACGGCAATGATTTTGGATTTCTTTGTCAGCGTCTATCTCTGGTCTATTTTTTTAGCAATGAAATAGATAAATAGTAAAAAGGTTGAAAATAAGATTGTATAGATTACCCTAATCTATCTTTGCAGTTTTTAGCTTCCGCGCGTAATTCTTCAAGTTGCTTTTCGAGTCCTTCAATTTCTGATATCAATTTTTCCTAAATTCAATGTAATATATTAATTGACGCGTCAAAATGGGCACATTATTGAATTCCGAACGCGTTGTTAATAACTTTCTGTGAAACGGAAAAAAATCGAAAACTATGAACTAAAAATTACCTTTTCAGCGAAAAACTTTGGATCAGTTAAAGATTTCGAAGAGTCTTCATCAACTGGTGGTTGTTTTCGCTGTGTTTTTTCGAAAATATAACTAGATAAACAAACGAAAATACACGAATTTTGATAGAATTACCTATCTACCTTTGCTCCTTTTGCCGATTTAGATTTTTTTGAAAATAATGATGATGATGATGAGGGTGGTGGCATTTGTAATAGTGTTTTCGAGCTCTTTTCCTTCAATTAATTAATCATTAATAAATAAATAAAAATGAATATGGTAAATTTAATTAATATAAACCTTCATATCTTCCGCTTCATCATTATTGCAATCATAACAAAAATACAACTTATTCGCATTCTCGATATCCTGATCTTCTTTTCTACTCAAAAAAATCATCATTATTCATCGAATATATTATTAATTTATTTATTTCATCATAAAAAAACAAAACTCACAAAATATTTTCGGATACAAGTTCCTGTAACAAGTTTTTTAATAGTGTAGTAGTAGCTGTTTCTATTGAATCTGCATTCTTATCCTCATTGAGACCACTATTTGAATTCTTTTTGCTACCCTTATCACCTTCACCTTCCCCACCACTCATTTTATTATTAATTCTGTCAGTATCACCAGTAATGCCAAATTGTTGGTACAACTCTTCAAGTGAAACATATAAATACTCGGACTTTGGTATTTTCTTTTCTTTCGCTTGTTGGGCAAAGTAAGAAGCTAGATTTTCTTTTGTTGGAATTAAAGTTGCCATTTTTATTATTAGAAATATATATGGTGCACCACGCTTAGTCACATCAAAGGCGCTGAAAATTTTGCAAATCATTACTTATCTGAAAATTTTGCTATAAAATTGAATATGATTGGTCAGATTTATAAGTGTGATTATTTTTTATATTAGTGCTGAAATTTTAAAAAATCGTATCTTACCAATAAAAAATATATTATTTGATAGTACTTACCAAAGACTATTAAATGATGTATTTTTTTACATTTAAAGTTCATATAAAAAATCCTTTACAATTCAAAGTATTTGATGCGACTACGCTGGACCCACTATAGATATAGTACGGGACAGCATAAGATATCCAATCTTTTATAGAAGCGTCAAATATTATATAATAATGCTTTATTACATGATTTAATGCTAGCCAATCAAATAATTATGTTATCAATTTTATGAAACTAATTTCTTCAAATCAAAATCTTCTTACCAAGTTGTAGCTTTACTAATCTGTAAGAGGATTTTTTTATTTTAATTGGTTCAAAAATTATAAGATTTTGTATAAGCATGTGCCAAATTTTCAATTCACACATAAAGTAGATAATATTCAAACCATTATAACTCTATCAAAATAAAAATAAAAAAAATTCTTCCAGAAATATATTTTTACTTAAGAACTGTCAATTTGAAAGAGGATTTTTTATTTAAAAGTTATAACACTTTTTGTAAGACAATTAAAATTGGATATCTTGTATAATAATTTATAAGTAACGATTCCAGCCCCGTGCCCTAAACACGTGATCTAACACTTGATCACATGATTATATTTAAAAGAGACAGGCAATACAATAAGAAAATAATACAGAGAAAATACTATAGTTTAACCATCATATCTTTTTGTAATATCTTTAATCATTCCTTATAACACGGTAGTTTTGGTGGAAATTATTGTAAAATTGATGGGACAATGAATAAAGAGCTATATATCAAGAAATTCTTAAAGATGATAATAATGTTACAATTTTAGATTGGCCAGCACAATCTCCCGACCTCAACGTTAGTCGTGAAGATTTGTGGAATAAAAATACAAATGGTATGGAACCAAATCGATATTGATAACTCTTTGAAATTAATTAATACTATGCCAGAAAGAATTGCGGCTGTTCTGAAAGCTAATGAAGGGTATGCGAAATATTAGTTATTACGTAGAAAAAAAATCGGGTATATTCAATTAAAAAGAATTTATATAAAAAGCTTATATTTAATATGTGCACCTTCGTTTTCCAAATATATTACCGTTAGTGGCGCAATAATTATGGATGTCACTGAATACAGATGTTTGGGTAAAAAAATCCATAACACTATTTTTAAAGTCAAAAAATTTTGATGAAATCAATTATTTTTTAGTCCGGTGTTACCGGTCTAAATACAATATTAGACTGCGCCTCGAAATTTAAATTTCATAAACTGGTTTTGATCCGGGTTATGAAAACCAAAAAATTTTGTTTGTATTAAGCTATCATTTGATATATACAGTGCTCGCCATATATAATGAGAAAAATAAACCGTTTTTTATTTTTGCATTATAAAAACTGCTTGAAGATATATAAAAATTTACAGATATATAATTTAATATATCGCAAACAAGTTTTCTTATTCTCAAATATTTGATTTTAATTTCGATATAATGCTATAAATTTAATTAAAAAATTGTCTTTTTTTGGCTTTTTTTAATACTTTAAAAAAACTTGTTCGTAATATATCAAAGTATATAAATAAGTATATATATTTAAATTTCGATCAATTTCATGATGTAATAAAAAAAACTACCATTTAGATTAATTGGCTTAGTTTCATATAAAGTGTACTATCAGGATTCGATCAGATAATTGGAAATAATTATTCTATAAAGTAGTCTTAAGTAAACATGTTCGCAATATATGAAACCGTATATCTGCAAATTTCATATATTTTGATTTTTTTATAACACAATAAGGAAATCTGCCAATTTCATATATTTTTGATTTTTTTATAACACAATAAGGAAAAACAGCACTGTATATAAATCATTGGTTATCATCCTCCCTAAATAAAGTTTCAGACTGAAAATCAAATTTATATATATAATTGGGTGAATCCGGATAAAAATTTGCTTTTATTTTATTTGATTACATATATTAAGCTGTTAATGAGAATGAAAGAAAGGGTTATCATCCTCCCTAAATAAAGTTTCGGACTGAAAATCAAACTTATATATAATTGGGTGAATCCGGATAAAAATTCGCTTTAATTTTATTTGATTACATATATTAAGCTGTTAATGAGAATGAAAGAAAGTATTTTAAACGGAAAAGGATTTATAACTTTACTAGGCGTCAATAGTCTAAAATAAAAAAGATAATGTTAATAACGAAAAAAAGCCAAAATAATTCAATGCAAAAAATATAAAAGTTACTATACCTTCATGTCAGCATACCGTTCCCCCCAAACCTCGATAGAATCAACAACGCTACGAATTTCTGCGACTTCCTCAGGAGTCAAGTGTATTTTAGCCGCTGCGATATTTTGCTCCAGGTACCTGTTTATGATAAATTTGTTATGGGTTATATCAATAAACAAATAAAGAAAATGGTTACGTATTTTTTTTCTCTTACTTTAATTTCTTTGTTCCGGGAATAACTAAGAAATCTTCACCCTAAAACAGAAGAAGATTGTTATAATATTTTATACCTAGGAAAAAGTTTGATTTTAGTAATAAAAATATAAATTACCTGAGCCAATACCCATGCAAGACATAATTCACTTGCACTGACACCTTTTTTCTCAGCCAACACATCAAATCGATGCACAATTTCTAGATTTTTTGCAAAATTTTCGCCTTGAAATCGTGGGGAGTATTTTCGAGAATCCTTGTCATCGAAATCATCGATAGATTTGTATTGTCCCTAAAATTGAAAGAATTTAATAAAGTATAAGATACGAGTTTAATGAATAAAAAAAAATAGGAGAACAGAAACAAACCGTCAAGAAACCATGTCCCAAAGGACTATATGCCACAACAGTGACACCAAGTTCACGACAAGCCTCTAGAATTCCGTTTTGTTCAATATCGAGACTCCATGGACTATATTCTATCTAAGAAAGACAATTTGATTAGTATTATCCACCTAAATATTTATTACGAATTGGATAGATCAATGTGTTATTGTACCTGTAACGCGGCTATCGGATGAACTTTATAAGCACGACGTAAATTCTTGGCACTGCACTCTGATAACCCAAGATATTTAACCTTTCCTTCTTTAACAAGTTCTGCCATTGCTGCGACTGTTTCTTCAATTGGCCTATTATTCTTAAAAAGTGTTAGTGAGTCAATTTCTGACAAAGGTACAGGTAAATACATACACGTTTTGATCCACACGATGTTGATAATAAAGATCGATTTGATCTATTCCTAATCGTTTCAAACTCTTATCGCATGCTTCGCGTACGTATTCTGGAGTTCCATTTACGCCTAGAAATTCTCCATTTGGACCGCGTAAAATTCCTATTAAATATATATATATATTATGAATATATGAGAAAGTTAAACCGAAATGAATGGAGTCGAAATGATTAATTACCAAATTTCGTGGCAATGAATACGTCTTTTCGATGATCTTTGAGGATTTTACTTACAAGTTCCTATATACAAATAGAAAAATAAATAAATAAAAAAAGGATGAGATAGGAGAGAATAAATTTATTATATAAATTTTCACCTCATTATGGCCACTTCCGTACATATCAGCCGTATCGAAATGATAAGCACCTAATTCAATGGCGCGTTTCAGTACTTGCAAACTTTGCGCGTCATCCGTTGCGCCGTAAAATTCACTCATTCCCTTTGTTTAATAGAATACAAATCTTAATTAGATCAACTAATCTTTCCAATTGATTCTTGAATATTATTATTAATAGGCTTGTTAGTTACCATACATCCCAAACCGATAGCAGGAATTTTAACACCCGTTTTACCGAGATTACGATGAGGAATCGATGAAGAAGCCATTGTTTTATCTTTTCTTTATTATAATTTATAAAGTGGATCAAATAGTTTGTTTCTTGAAGTTTTAAGACAGAATATAGACGACATATACACACACGTTGTATTTATATCAATTCAATTTTTTTTGGATTGATTACGCGTATAATTACGCAATTGATTGCGTGAAAGTGTTTCTTAGGAAAGTTAAACTCGCGCAGTAAATTAATTTCTATATACCATCCCTAAATAAGCGAGATTAAGTTTCGATCGGACCGAAAACCCTAAATTTACATATAATTTAGTGAATCCGGATGTTCGGGTACAAGTTCGCATTTTTTTAATTTATTCAAAGATCCGGAATTTTTAAGGGTAGGGTATCACTAATAATTTGAGATCATCCAATTTTTTCTGTGTTCCCAAATGATAAAAATAGTTGTTCAAATCCGAGTTCACATGATCTGCGTCCAACATTTCTCCCAATATCACATATTCCTCGTACAACGCACGTAGTAATGTAATAATAAACATCATTTATAACTGTCAAAGCATTATTGTATTCATGATTATAATAATAAAAAAATAAAGCCGTTATGTATGCTCATAATATTACTATCAACGTTATAGAACTCATCTAGGAACGGGTAACCGAGAATTGCAAGTGTCATTGAATGGATACATGCTATGCCTATTTAATGGTATCCGCAACTCCTGGCTATCTTTTTTCCCGCTCTTGCGGGAAACTTTTTAAAATTAGCCGAATTTCATTAGTTTTCGTGCCGAAATTCGAAACTCGGCTAATTTTAAAAAATTTCCCGAAAAAAGGTGACCAAAAGTTGCGTTGCCATATAATATGCTTACCTTCATTAAAATTGGCTGAATTCCATTAAATTTCGTGCCGATATTTGAAATTCGGCCAATTTTAAAAAAACTCACCTATATGGGAAAAAAGGTAGCCAGGAGTTGCGGATGCTATTAGATGGACATATTATATAATATATCCATTTAACGGTGCAATTCTCGGTTTCCGCAGGAGCGGGAAATTTTTTAAAATCGGCTGAATTTTATTACAACTTCGTGCCAATATTTGAAATTCAGCCGGTTTTAAAAAAATTTCCCGCTCCTGCAGGTGCTGTTAAAAGTACATCGACAGTTATTTTTGCGTGTAAACAATAAAAGGCTCTTCTTTTAAGGTAGAATGTAATATGTTATACATAAACTATTTACTATATAAAAATTTGTGAGATTACAAAATTTATGAAAGATAAATCATGATACAAACCACTAAATCTGATCAAAATAACACGCCACAAACTTGAGAACCTTTATTCTTCACTGTAAAATTTTGAAACAAGTTTTGAAAACTGCTTTTTGAGTTTTTACATTTATGAAATTTGCTCCTTTACATAAATCAGCGTTTGCTTAGTCGCTTGATTGAGTCTTTAGGTAGATATATTCAGTGTTGTTGGATTGTACATACCTTTGGAATATCCCAAAAATGCTCTTTTCATACATTTCAGTGTTTATTTGAATGTAAAATTAATAATTAAGTCTGTAAGTAGATATGTTCAGTGTTGTCAGATCGCACGTACCTTTGGAACATCCCAAATTGCTCCTTTCATAAAATTCAGCATTTGCTTGTATGCAAGATTAATAATAGTAGCTCGAGTGAGTCAGTAGATAGTGTTATAAGATCTTATGCACCTTTAGAACATCATAAAATTGTTTTTTTGTACCGATTGTTTGAATGTGAAATTAATAATAGTCGCTCGATCGAGTCTTTAGGTAGATATATACAGTGTTGTCAGACCTTTAAACATTCCAAAATTTCCCCTTTCATAAAATTCAGCGTTTGTTTGAATGTAAACTTAATAATAGTTGCACATTTGAGTTTTTAGTAAACATTTTCAGTATTTTCGGATTGTATCTTTATAAGAAAATTTGTATGTAATATGTCTGTAAAAAAGCATGGAAATATACGAAAAAGTCTGATATGTCTGTAAAGACGCGTAAACGTCCACTTTTTATGTGCATTTTACAGACATATAAATATGTAAAAGGTTGTTTATTAGCAATTATAACACGCATAAAAAGTCTTACAGAAATATCATACTTTTTCGTATTTTTTACAGACATCAATATATTGAAATTTACAGGCATATATTTTTTTAGGGTATGTACAGTACCCCCAAAAAGTAACGCCCGATTTGGATGTGCAACATCATAAATTTAAATGTGGCGGTTTTCCCCTTTTTGTTATTGTTGACTGCAATTTCTTTCTTCGACTTTTGAACATACACTGGGCGAAATTTTTGGCTGTAAATATAACACACACCGCCTCCAGTTTACCGACTTTGACAAGGGCAAAATGGGTAATTTGGATCGGGTTTTGAGTGCCGTACAAGTTGCAAGAAAAATGATCCGTGACTCGATGGCGGGATAATGGTCTCTTGCCGAATACAAGAGAAATAGGAAAAAAGAAAATTTACCAGGGTCTGGAAGGTCACAAGCT